GGAAGGAAGGAAGGAAGGAAGGAAGGAAGGAAGGAGAAAAAGAACTTTAGCTAGAAATATGCCACCTTATACTCAATGTCATGGTTCAGAGCACAGTGCTGGGCCCACATGACAGCAGACACTGTAGCTCACTGCCCCTTCAGGAAGGGGAGTTGTTTTGTTGGGTTTGGTTTTCTGCATAGTGCTAGGAATAAACCCGACAAGTCCTGTGAGCAGCACCCTCGCCCCCAAGCGGAGAGTCAAGTCTTGGCATTACAGATCCTGCAAGGGGGACAACCCCGAGCCCCTGATGTTCTGGGCTCGGTTCAGATGCCCCGACTGCTCTCGTTGGTTTTGAGGATCTCACAGTGGCTCAGGAGGCAGCCTGGGTTTGGAGCAGTCCAGGCTGCCCTTGGACTTACAGCAATCCACCTGCCTCAGCCTTCTGAATTCTGGGATGAAAGTGTGTGCCACTACATCTGGCTTCAAACCACTGTTTAAAAAACACAACTAGTCGGGCGGTGGTGGCGCACGCCTTCAATCCCAGCACTCGGGAGGCAGAGCCAGGCGGATCTCTGTGAGTTCAAGGCCAGCCTGGGCTACAGAGTGAGTTCCAGGAAATGCGCAAAGCTGCACAGAGAAACCCTGTCTCGAAAAAAATAAATAAATAAATAAAATAAAAAAAAAATAAAAAACACAACTTAGGGACAGGCAAGACGGCTCAGCAGGCAGGTGTGGTATCCCGGACAGACAACCAACTGGGAAGAGTGACAGGGGAGCAGGGCCACTTCTCCTGCCCCGATACGCAGACAAAGCTGAGGTTCTAAACAGGCTGATCCCACAGCAGAAACCGATGGAGTGGACATGCTGTGGCTGGCACTCGGGCATGTCCTCTGCCGCCACCAAGCTTCCTTAAACCAGGGTCACCACACAGGATAGCAAAGGGGTCACTCGTGTTTGCTTGTTAGGTAACACACTGTTGTCTGGAGGTTAACTGCACCCAGCTGGCTGGTGTGCCCCCAAGAATGCAAAACCACACCAGCACCCCACATGTACGTCCTCCCTAGAGGCGCTGCTACTCTGGAAGCCACAATGTCACTGCCTGAGGTTTCTCCATCCACGTAACTCAAGCTGCTTCTCCATCACACACTGATGGAGCCTGTGCTCTCAAATGGGGACTACAATTGGGGTTCTCCAAGTTCACGGAGAGCCTAGGTTAGTTCTGACAGTGAACGTGTATGCTGAAGAATCTTATTTATCTGTGCAACTTTGTGTTGTGGAGAGCTGGGGACACAGCCTGCCATATTTTAAGTGTTAGCTGTTGAGCCGGATCACAAAGTTTCCTTTGTAAGAATCAGGGCTGTGCACTTCGACCCCCGGACCTTCGCAGGGCTCTCCCCGGCCTTCTTTCTCCTGCGACTGTACCAAGGGTTGGCTTACACACCTCTCACACGCACCCCTCCCTTTCCGTCCCAACCTACTTGACCCCCTCAGAACTAGACTGACAGGGGTGTGTGTGTCCTAACTGAGGAAAGCCAGCTAGAGTCTCAGGCAGGGTGTGACTTACAGCAAATATCTGGCCAGCTTGTGAGGTCCTGGTCTTCACTCTCAGCTCCTAAATGCCAGACAATACCAGGTGAAGCCAGGCCCCAGATGCTATGGGGGGCTGGGCCTTACCTGGTAGGTGTGAAGGATCTCTAGGAAGGACCTGTAGATCTCAGGGTGGTCCAGAAAGCGGGTCTTGATCTTGTTCACATAGCTGATAGCGTTGTTGAACTCCACCGAGTCCGACTCCAGGGGCACCTGGCCTCTGTCCTCCTTGTAGGACATCTGCTTGAAGTCCTCGCCACAGTCACCATGGCTGTGGGAGTTCTCCTGCAGAACACAGGCAGTGAGTGCATGGGGTGGTCCGAGGACGGTGAACTGTCACTGCATGCTGACAAGCACTGCTTCTCTAAACCCTGAGGACCCACAGGAACAAAGTACTTCCTCCCTCTGGAGTCTCCCCATGTCTCCAGGTCTCCTGTGCCTGGAACTGCAGTTTCAAACAAGGCCCACTCCTGTACTCCAAAGGCTGGATCTCCCTATGCAGCCTGGCTTCAACTCTGCCCAACCTCCTGCCTCAGCCTCCCCAGAGCTGGCATAGAGGTTTGCTTTCTACTCTTAAAAGATCTGCATGCAGGGGAAAAGTCACAAATCCTGGGAGCTGAACCTTGTTGGAGCTATGTGTGGGGCTATGTGTGATGTCCCCCATCTTAGCAAGACTATTCTCAAGTGGAACAGCGGTAGCTGGCTTCAAGGGACCATCCCAGTGCCTATACATCTAGCCACAGCTGGCTCAGGGAATTCTCACAACAGGGCCTCTGAGTGCTAAGCCCCAGGACAACTCAAGTGATAGCCATCAGTCACCAGAGCCAAACAATGAAAAGCATCTTACCTGTGCCTATTTTTCTCCAGCTATAAACAGAAACATGTATTTCTCATCTCTATGGAATCCTATTTTGCAAGAACCAGCATCCTGGTGTTTGCTTTTCTGGCAGTTCTAGGGTGGAAGCTGGGGCCTTAAGTCCAGGCGGGTACTGGACTGGAGCTGTAGCCAGAGTCTCCAGGAACACCCCACCCCTCTGCATTGGTCACTGTCACTACAATTCAGCCCGAGGTTCTACCTGGATACCATGCTCACCATGACCTTCCAGAACCTTCTGTAGTGACTCTAAACATCTTTCCTGTTTTCCCCAGCAGCTCTGCCCTCCTCTGGGCAGGAGGCACACATATGGCACCTGAATGGTTTCTGAACAACAGATCATTTTCCTCAAGAGGCTGGAGGTGCCAGCACCAAGGGGTTTGGGTTCCTGAGGAAAGGGCTGTGCTGCACCCTCAACACTTCTTAAAAGAATGCCAGCAGCCGGGCAGGGGTGGTGCACGCCTTTAATCCCAGCACTCGGGAGGCAGAGGCAGGCGGATCTCTGTGAGTTTGAGGCCAGCCTGATCTACAGAGTGAGATCCAGGACAGCCAGGGCTACACAGAGAAACCCTGTCTGGAAAAAACAAAGAATGCCAGCCAAATTTAATTAGTGCCCACCCAAATGGCCTCATCTGGTCCATGTTTACTCAGTCTCCAGATAGTAGCCCCTTAGTATCCAAGTGGGGCAGGTTCCACACATTTCCAATGTAGCCCAGCATCACACAGATGTGCACGGCCCCACAAGCACTCAGCATCTCCAGGCACACTGTCAACAGTCCACACCTTGTGGACTAGGGAATGACAATCACATTCAACCCAAGCATAGGCTGGGGTGTGGCTCAGATACAGAGCGTACACGCGCTCGCGCACACCCCCTCAGCCTGGGCAAGGACCAGGTTCCATCCCCACCACCCTAAGTCAGTATGCTCAGCACACATGTAAGTTCTCTGAAATGTCCAATGTGTGGTGAATCTGCAGGTGCAGAACTCAAGGATCGAGGCCAACTAGTGGTGTTCTCAGGTCCTAGGGCTGAGCTTCAACAGACAAGCAGGAGCCACAACTGGGCTGGCAACAGTGGACAAAGTGCTCAAAGCCAAAGCTGAGGACAGACACCGACTGCAAATGTGAGCCAAGGCTCTCAGGGACCCGCCTGCTGCCCACCTTCAAGGTCTCGGGGCCTGGGTTTGCCCTTGGCAAGACTGGAGTCTCCCCAGCCACTTACGGACACGCTCCAGCACTGTATGGTTCCTCTGGTCCCCTGAATAAGCCAATACGGCATGACAGAGAGCCAGCTCTCTGGCTGGGGACTCTGCAGAAGGCACTAGACGGTGAGTGAGAACAGTTACTATGGCAACAGCCTTCAGCTCCTCAATAATCCAACAGAGAATTTCCCTACAGCCAGCAACTGCAATCCCACAAAGCAGATCTACAAAACCAGAAAGACTCACACACCAACATTCAACGACACACAATTCACAAAAGCCAACAAAAAGTAGAAACAACTCATCCACCAGATGAATGAACAAAACATGGTCTATCCAGTGGAACATTACTCAGCCAAGAAAAACAAACAAACAAACAAACAAACAAACACTGCCACATACTATGATGTGAGTGACTGACACAAGGCAGACACAAGAAGGCCATCATATATAATTACATTTATGTCAAATGCCCACAACAGGTCATATACAGAAAGCAGATGAATGGTTAGTAGGACCTGTTTCTGGGGTGATGGAATGTTCTGGAATTAGTGGTTAAGATTGTACAGCTGTAATACAATTTTCTACTGTATTCTTTGGAAAATAAAAAAACCACTCCAGAGCCTACACACCGCAGCAGACAGGCCCTGCTGGGGACTTCCTATAACCGCCCCATCCTCTCTTCCCCTTGGGGTGAATGTTAAGACAGCTGGTCCTCACACTGTGCCCCACATCTGCCCAAGAACCACGTGGCCCTTCTGGATCTTCAGGAGCCTAAATGAGCAAGTCACCAGCCCGAGCTGCCAGGGCCTCTCCCTCAGAACCAACCTCCACCTCACCATGGGAAGGCCCAGGCTGGGTCATACACAATTTACCTCACTGACCTACTCCTGGGTCCTGGCCTCCAAGGTATGGATGGGTCCTCTCCAACCTCTTGGGCCTCTGGACTCACCTGGTTGATCCTGACCCAGCAGCAGGAGTCTTCCTAGACATCCCATGTCCTGCAAGCCTACCTCTTGGCTCCCCTCCAGCCGGGCTCTACTTCCCAGAGAAGGGGCCCATTCCCCCACGGCCTTCCTCCTCCCTACTTGGACCCACCCCTCAAAGTCCCTGCTGTCAACTGTCTCTCAGTGAGAGTCCCACACCCCGAATTACACTGAGGTTCCAGCTCCAAGGAAGGGGGGTTCAGAAATAATCAGACATACCTAGCTCTCCAAACACGGTGGCCAAGGCCCTCCTGCCGGTCCCCCCAAAGAGGACCTAGGGAGCTAGGTGTCCTGTCCTCACCTGTCCACTGACATCTGGTTGCCTATTCCTCCCTTGACACAGCTCAGTGACAGAGAAGCAACTAGGAAGGCCCACGTAAGGGTCCTGTCTCCTCTGAAGAGCTTGGTCAGGACGCACAAACACAGGAACACACACTTCTCACGGCTGTGAGGGCCACTGGGGGCTGAGGCCACATCTCCCAAGATGCTTCCTCAGGGAGAGGCCACAGCAGATCACGGTTTTCCAAGCCTCCTGCTTGTGGCCTGGCTATCTATCCCCTCCCTTCACAGAGGCAGTTAAGTAAGAGTCTTACTCTGTGGCCCAGGCTGGCTTTGAACTCACAGCAAATCTTCCGGCTCCTGAGGGCTGGAAGGACACCCCGAATCTAAGGACTCAGCCCTGCTCGCCCCTCAAGCCCTGTGTTGTCAGCGGGGGCCCTGGTGCTCTCCCTGGCATTGGGAGGGGAGAGGCCCTGGGTGCTACACCACATGCCAGAGTGCCAAAGTCCTCACAAGGAGGAACGCGGCCCAGGAGCCCCAGCACAGGAGCCCCAGCAGGTGGGGAGCGCCCAGCACCTTTCCCAGCACAGAAGGACAGTGCTCGGCTGCGGTTGCCAGGCCAAACTCATGAAATGGAAAAGAAAGCACAACGCTGCGTTTCAGTGACGTCAGGATGCAGGGGCAGCAGGTGCTTATCGTTTCAGCACTCTGGAGCTGAGGCAGGGGAATGTCAGGTTCCCGGGCCAGCCTGGGCTACAGAGACCATGTCTCTAATAAGGAAAACAGCAAAGAGAACACTGGGAGAATTGAAACCAGCAGGTGCTGACGTGTAGGAACCTGTAAGCTCTCCTGCTGTGATGGTATCTCAAAGGCTCCAGGAATCCTGAAGGAGATCTCCTGTGAACCTTCAGAAAGCAGGAAACACCTGGATCAGAATCAGGGCTGAGCACTAACAGGCCACCACTGTCACCGAGATCAAGGGGCTCCCGAGTACCCTGAGGGAATGTGACTCAAGACTGGCAGAGGTACCCTGCTCATGGGTCTAAGACTATCTTTGTCATCCTTTCTGTAAGTCACTGTGGGCCCTTGGTCACCTAAGCTGCCTACGGAGGGGGTTGGGGGGGAGACTGCTGCTGGCTTCACTCTCTGTCCAGAGCCCCGTACGATGCATAGGGGACAGCCTAGCCCCGTGACTCACTCTGCTCCCTGCAGCTTTCTTGGGAGTGGCACTGACGTTCAGACAACATACACACTCCAGGAGCTGCTCCTGGCTCTGACAAAGCTCCCACTGCTCCACAGCTCAGCCACACGAGTTCCAGCAGTTATTCCTGCGAAGGCTTCTGTGGCCGTGGGGCCTGGATTCCAGGTACGGGTGGGAAATGAAAACCCTTGAGAACTCAGTGGCATGTGCTTCTTCTAAGTTCCCTCTGAAACTAGCCAGGGCTTCTGGGCTTCCGGGGGCTGATGGGCAGGACCAGCAGAACTCACACAGGAGCCCCTCAGAGACCTGCCAGGGCCACACCACCTTCCCAGAGTCCCTCTCCAACTTCACTGAAAGCCCGCTGTGGTGGCAAACTCTGTCATCCTAGCATTTGGAGGGCTGAGGCACAATGATGAATTTCAGACCTGTCTGTGCCACGCTGTCAGTGGCGGAGTGGGAGAACCACAGACAGAGGCTGCAGAGCCCAAGCCTGGGCAGAGGAGGGAACCGATGGCAATCCCATGAAGTGACAGAAAACAAAATGATTCCCATGCACACAGAGGAACCACTTGGTTTTACTGGTGACCTGAATGAAAGCCATCAGATCCCACTGTACACTTTGGCCTGGTAGACTTGTTGGCAAAGCCCTGAAGCCAGACCTCAGCAAACCAGTGATACAGTGACTCTGAACATAAAATTCTCCTTGACTCCATCACCACCCCAAAGTGCTGGGGACGGAACCCAGGGCTCTGTCCATGCCAAGAGTTCTCCCCGACACTGAACCACACCCCCGGCCACTACACTCACTTGGGGATGCAGAGGCTGCGTCTGTGTTTCTACCTTGACGTGGATAGAAGCAATTAGAGAACCTAGAACAGGCCGTACAAAGGCTTCCAGCAACATCACAACAGGCCCGGCTGTGCTCCCTGTGGGGATGACTCTCCAGGTCCACATCAAGTCAAATAAAACCTACCTGGCTGGTCAAAGGTGACTGGATGTTCAACTTGCCGTTCTTGGGAATGTCTATGCGGTACCCGAGCGGGAGGAAAGCATTAAACCCCACAATGAGGTCAGGGTGCTCATGGAAGAGCTGGGACACGCGCCTGATCACTCCAGGGGTGTCAATGCTGGAAAAAAGAATGCAGGTAAGCACGAGTCCTGGGAGCAAACCTGAAAACCCCCTCTCAAACGCCCACGAGGTCACCACAGCCAGGCTAGAGAGAGGACACAGACTCCTCAAACGGGTCCCACCATGTTCTTGACTTGTGTGTGCCTTCGTTCCCCACCCCCACAGCTCCACCCCCATTTGAGACAGGGTTTCTCTGGGTAGCCCTAGCTGTCTTGGAACTTTCTAAGACCAATCTGGCCAAGAACAAGAGTTATGCCTGCCTCTGCCTGGGCTAAAGGCATGCACCACCATATCCCACTTCAAAAAAAAAGGAACCACAATATGAGACCATCTGTGACTCCTAAGCCCAGTTCTGAAAATGTCTGAGAATCAACAGAAGGCCACAGTTCTCCGAGCATGTAAGAGATCCCCTAATAGTTTAAAAATCAGGAAAGGGTGAGGATACATCTTGGGTTTTTATTTTCAAGACAGGGTTTCTCTGTGTAGCCCTGGCTGTCCTGGAATTCTTTATAGACCAGGCTGGCCTCGAACTCAGAGATCCATCTGCCTCCGCCTCCTGAGTGCTGGGAGTAAAAGCGTGAGCCACCACCTCCCAGCCATTTTGGCTTTTTTGTTTGTTTGTTTTTTTTTCCAGACAGGGTTTCTCTGTGTAGCTTTTGCGCCTTTCCTGGAGCTCACTTGGTAGCCCAGGCTGGCCTCGAACTCACAGAGATCCGCCTGCCTCTGCCTCCCCAGTGCTGGGATTAAAGGCATGCGCCATCACGGCCCGGCCGCTTTTTTTTTTTTTTTTTTAACTGAAGAGGGCGAAGTGCTAACACCAGAGCCTTCCAAAGCTAGGGACTGGAAAGATGGAGACACAGGGAGGGTCATCTTCTGGCCTCAGTATCCTGAATATCCAGAAAACCAGCCTAGGCCTTTCACACTCCCTGAGAGCAGACAATGGCAGAGCAGTACCAAGATGTGCAGGAAGCTGGCTGACAGTCTGAGTTCCAGTTCCACTCACCTGTTACTAGGGTGAGTCCCTTACCTAAACCAAGCCATCCCTCCTAGAAAGTTCTAAAAGACACAGGCATGACTCGGAGGCACCCCACGACACCTAACTGCTGTGCCCACAGCAGTTCCTGTGTTTTATGTCCCTTAAATCCATATAGGTGCCAAATTAGAAAGTGCTAGGAGAAGCATCTTGTGAACAAGATTTAAGGAAAAAATGGTGCACACACATACATAAACACCCCCGACCATAAGTAACATTTTCTTGAAGTATTTACCAAAAACTTCCCCAAAAACTAACACTCAAAAGTTGTACCTCCAACCTTTCATAAACAAGACTCTTTAAACATTTCAAAATTATTAAGTGTAAGTTTACTGTCTGCACGTGGGCGTGTGTCAGCTCAAGTGCAGGTCAGAAGACAACTTGCACAAATCAGTTCTCTCCCACCACGAGGGTTCTGGGGCTGGAACGCAGGGGTCAGGCGTGGAGGTGGCCACTTTACCCTCGGAGCCCTCTGTCCAGGCCCGGATCTCTCCCACTCCCCAATTTCTGCCCTCCGACCAGGAATCCCCTGTGACTGTTTAGGACGCTTCCCGGCCCACCAAACCTATGCAAGGTCACCAGCCTAAGGGCGGAGGTGTAGTTAGTGGGGGGGGGGGAGTGTTCACCCAGCCTGCTGCCCCCGGGTGCAGAAGGCCCTGCAGGTTACCTCTGGCTTTTGAACTCCTTCATGATCTCCAGGAAGCCATTGTAGGTGGCAGGGTCGCTGCCGAAGCGGATCTTCACCTGGTCGAGGTAGGTGAGAGCGTCCTCCACCTGCGAAGAACGAGACGGCTGCGGGTGGGCAGGGGTCGCGCAATGCACAGGCCGTGGGACGGAAGGCCAGGGACAGGGAAGGGGTGGCGCGGGGCTGCACAGGGCCTCGAGGGTAACTGCGGGGTTCCGGGGAGGGCCGACGAAGAATACCGAGGGCCAGCGGCCAGTCCCGAGGGGCCTCGGAGGCCCGAGGAGTTCCGGGTTGAACCGAGGACCGGCGGGGAGGACCGAAGGGTCTCGGGGACGCCGCGAGGTCCCCTGGAAAACCGAGGGGCGGCGAGGAAAACTAGGGGCCGCCGAGGAGGGCCGGGGGGTTCCGGAGCGCACCGCGGGGTCCCGGGGATGACAGGGGCCGCGGGAATGACTGAGGGATGTCGAGAGGCATCTCCAGAAGGACGGAGTTGTGGCGAGGAGGAATGAGGCGTTCGGGGGACACTGAGGGGCCGCCGGGGTGACCGAAGGATTCGGGGGAAGGGGTGTGAGGTCCCCGGGCCCCGGCTGCGCAGAGGAGGCCGAGGCGGGGCCGCACGGCGGGGCGCCGGCCTTCGGGGCTCCGGGTCCCCAGGAGGAGGCTGGGGGCGTCACTCACGTGCACCGGCAGCTTCTCGTGGCCTCCGGAGCCCGAACGACCCCAGCGGGAGCCGCCGAATCCCCGGCCCGCGGAGCCTCCGCCGCCTGCGTGCGCCATGTTGGAAGTCAGAGCCGCGACTGCCCCGCCTCCGCCAGAGCCCAGGTTGCGCTTGCGCGGGCCCCGCCCCTAAAAGGTGGAGAGTCGTGACGTATGGTGTGGGCGTGTCGGCACGAGGAACTCGCAGGAGGGGCGGGGCTGCCCGAGGGGAGGGGAGGGGCTGCCCGAGGGGAGGGGCGGGCGGCTCTAAACGCGGCTCCCCTAGGACTCTGTGGCGACCCGGAAAACCAAAGAATATTTGCTTTATTCTATTGAGGGGTGGAGGTGGGGAAAAGTAATTTTCTTTTTTTTTTTATAGCAAAGTTGGAAAACATTTCAAAACGCACTAATTTTATAAAATTCACATATCGGTGTTCGGGCTCGCCTTGTCATCTCAGTGCCAGGAAGGCTGAGGCTGGGGAATCACTGAGAGTTCCAACCCAGACTGGGCTACCTAGTTAGGACCATGTCTTAAAAGAAATTGACATTTAGACGTTGACATCGTCTCAAAAACAGAGACCGTGATAGAATGAAAACAAGTCCACATAGCTGTTGACCTGGAGAGAGATTTGTAAGGATCTGGTTCTTCCTGGAAAAAGTTTCTGGACTCCTGTTCTGTGGGGTTGATGTGGCAGTGGGCTGTGGGTGAGCAGCACCCATTCTAAAGCCACGTGGGCTGAGTTCTTGCACTAGCGTGTGCCTGTGAGTGAGTGTGTGCCTGTGTGTGTGTGTGTGTGTGTAGGTAAGCGTGCTCCTGTACGTGTATACGGAGACCAGAGGTGGACATTGGTGTCCCCACCGGACAGGGTAGCCAGCGATCCCCGTCTCCAGGGCTGCGGCCCTGGGCCACAGCCAGCCAGTGTGGATCCTAGCAAGCCCCTTTCCCACTAAATCTCTCTCCAGTCCCACTTTCTTGATCCCGTTCACAGCCTGGTTGGAGCCTGGACCATGCCACCGCCGCTTCCAAACTTAACTTTGTGGAGCAGGGGCTGGGGCCCAGGGCTCTGCACCGGCTCTGTGGAGCCACATTTCCAATCCTTCGTGTTTTGAGGCCTCCCCGGGTGGTAGCACAGGTTACTCTCCAACTTTCAATCTTGTAATTGCCCTGTCTTCACGTCCTGAGTGCCTGGAAGACAGGTGTGTCACCACTCAGCTCAAGATTTCTGTCTTCCCTTGTTTAGAGCTTTTGTAGGCTTATGGCAAGACAAGTTCATGAGTGTAGGTTTAAAGCGCAGATACACAAGGAGGTCCATCTGATGCCACTGATGTTAAAATTAAAAAAAAAAGAAAAATACACCGTATCTACTTGCGGGTGAAGCTATTCGTATACTTAATTCTTCCTGTACTTTATTATACTCCCTGTACTTTATTATAGAAATGTCCCCGTTCATAAGTGTATCTGTGGCCAGGCATGGTAGTGGGAAGCAGAGGCAGAAGGATGAGGGCGCTGACCAGCCCGCCTAACTGAACTGGTAATCTCCACACCAGGCAGAGACCCTGTCTCAAAACTAGGAAATGAAGTGGACTGCTTTGTGGTTAAGAGCGCATGTTGCTCCTGCAGACCCCACATGGTGCTTGTAACTCAGTGGTGACTGCTTGTAACTCAGTGGTGGCATGGTTCAGGCTCCACCCCAGCTGTGGACGGGACTGACACCTTCATTAACCTCTGCAGGCACCAGGCACAAGGGGCGCACAGACATACACGTACATCAAACACTCATATTCATAAAATAAAGGGCTTTTTTTAAAGATTTATTTATTTATTATGTATACGAAAGAGGGTACCAGATCTCATTGCAGATGGTTGAGAGCCACCATGTGGGTGCTGGGAATTGAACTCAGGACCTCTGGAAGAGCAGTCGGTGCTCTTAACCTCTGAGTCATCTCTCCAGCCCATAAAATAAAGGACTTTTAAACAAAATAAAAAGGTGAAAATCAATAGACCTCTGGCCCCCACGTGTGTGTACATACATGTACATACCCACATGCACATATGCCACACATACACACAATAAGGTAAACATAATGACACACTCCCTAGAGAACTGGAGACCCACATTCATCCTTCCGAGGGTTCTGCCCACTTGACCTGATTAACTCTGACCTCTTAGCTTCTGCCTCCGGCCAGTGTCTTCACACTGTGAGGACAGCACATGACCTCGGCCGGGCCCCGGCCATATCCAGACTCCAGCACTCTCTGTACATGTCAAAGGTGATGGGGTATTACGTACATACTGAAGACTTCAGATCCCAGCACTTGGGAGGCAGAGGTGGACGATCTTAGTGAGTTTGAAGCCAGCCTGGTCTTACAAAGTGAGCTCCAGGACAACCAGGACTGTTACACAAAGAAACCACCATCTCCAAAAAAAAAAAAAAGACCCCAGAAGAGTTGGTTTTCAGGCAGGCATGGTGGCCACCTGTCTTCCCAGCAGTTAGGAGGCAGTGACGGGCAAGCTGGCAGCTAAATGGCTGGACTGGCCAGCTCCAGGTTAAGAGGGTGTGCTAGACAGTTTTGTGTCAACACAATCTAAGAGTCATTTGGGAAGAGGGAACCTCAGTTGAGAAAATGCCTCCATCAGATTGGCCTGTGGGCACATTCTCATATGATGATTGATTCAGGAGGCTCCAGTCCACCGAGGGTGGTGCCAGTCCTGGTCTGCTGGTCCTGGGTCAGCTCCTGCCTCCAGGTTCCCACCTTAGGTTCTTGTCCTGACTCCCCTCAGTGATGGGCTGTGGTGTGGAACTGTGAGCTGACGCCCTTTTCCTCCCCAAGCTGTTTCCAGTCATGACATTTTGTCACAGCAATCGATGCATACAGCAAGAGATCCCGACTCAATACATAAGCGATCAGGGTAGACATCTAAGGTCCACCTTTGGCCTCCAAGGGAAGATGCACATGTATGCATGTGATCCCACACACATGGGACTAAACATACAGACTAGAGAGAGAGGTTAAGTTGGGCATAGTGATGCCCGCCTATCATCCCAGTACAGCCTGGGCTACAGAGCCCTGTTTCCAAACGACCACAGCAGCGAGAGAGAAGGTAGGAGAGTGTGCTGGGCAGTGCTGGACAGGTGGTCAGAGGCAGAACAGAGAAAGCCATCCCTGCTGGCAACCCAGAGACAGGCAGGTGCCTGGGAGCTGAGGTCTGGCCTTGAGCTGAAAACTCAGAGGAGCAGGCATCCTGTGAGTCACTGAGCAAAGGGCCCCGTGACACTGAGCAGAATTGCTGAATTGCTGACCCACAGGAGCAACCAGATAAAAACATGGTGGCGCTGGACAGATCTTGCAACAATTTGTTACTGAGCAACAAAGAACTAACTCAGCCCCCAAGTCCTTGCCCCAGAAAGCGCCTTCCCAGGGTGCCCGCTGCTGTGAGAATGCTGAGCCAGAGCATTTGTTTATCAGTCTCAAATCCAGCTCTCCCAGGAGCAAGGCGGACTGTGCGGAGCAGGAAGATGGGGGAGACAAGGACACCCTGGAACTTCCTCTCAGTGTGGCTGTGAAGGAGAAACTCATACACATAAAAAAAAAAAAAAATCTAGGTCAGGCACCATGGCTTATGTCTGTAATGCTAGCACTTACGAGACTGAGGCAGGAGACTCACTGTGAGTTTCAGGTTAGCCTGGGCTACATAATAACCTGTCTCTACAGCACCTATCTCAAAACAACAACAATCTACTATAAAAAAGGCTACAGCTTGAGACATCGAGATGCTTGCTGCCAGGCCTGATGACATGAGATCAGTCCTCTGGTCCTGCAGATTGTCCTGGGACTTGACCTACACATACATGCTATGGCACACACCCAGTGTCTTAGTCACTGTTCTAATGCTGTGAAGAGACACCATGACCAAGGCAATTCTTATAAAAGAAAGCATTTACTTGGGGCCTTGCTAATAGTTTCAGAGGCTCAGTCCATTATCATCGTGGCGGTAGCATGGCAGCAGGTGCTGGAGATGTAGCTGAGCAATATGTCCTGACCCACAGGCAGGGAGAGAGAGAATGGCCTGGCATGGACTTGGGAAGCCTCAAAGCCCACTCCCTCCAGCAAGGCCACACCTCCTAATGCTTGTAATCCTTTAAACAGGCCTACTCCCTAGTGACCAAGCATTCAAGCATGTGAGCCTATGGGGGCCATTCTTATTCAAACCAGCACATTCGCGCGCGCGCGCGCGCGCGCACACACACACACACACACACACACACACACACACATTTCCCAAAAAAAAATGTAAAAATAATTTTAAGTTTTTGTTTAATGATTCAGTGGGGGAAAGCATCTACTACCACAAATGTTTTGGGACCTGAGTTCAAATCCCACATATCCACACAAAACAAGATACAGTCTTAGAAGCCGGTCATCCCAATACTCTGAGGGAGATGGGAGTGGACACAGGACACCTAGACGGTCTCAGGCCAGCCCGGCTCCTGCAGCACTCAATGAAAGACCCTGCCTCAAAGTGGCCTTGGACCTCCCTGTGCACATGTTGTGGACTATTATTTTAAGGTGCGCTACATTTGCTTATGTTGCCTTTGTTTAACTCTGTGAAGCTGTGTTCCTGTGCCTGTGTAAAACACCTGATGGTCTAATAAAGAGCTGAACAGTCAACAGCAAGGCAGGAGAAAGGACAGGCAGGACTGGCAGGCAGAGAGACTAGATAGAAGGGGAAATCTGGGGAAAAGAAGGAGGCAGAGAAGGAGGAGGACTCCAGGGGCCAGCCACCCAGCTACACAGCAAGCCATGGAGTAAGAAATAATGGAAGATATACAGAAATAGAGAAATGTAAAAGCTCAGAGGCAAAAGGTAAACGAGATAAGTTAAGAAAAGCTGGCAAGAAACAAGCCAAGCTAAGGCTGGGCATTTATAATTAAGAATAAGCCTCCATGTGTGATCTATTTGGGAGCTGGGTTGTGGGCCCCCCTAAAAAAGTAAAGAAAAAAAACCCTAACACCATGCACACAATAGCATTCATACATGTGTGTGGATACACACACACACACACACACACACACACACACACACACACACACACACAGGATCAGGAATTGAAGGTCCTATTTGG